GCTGCCGGGGAGCCAAGTCCAGCTGCCACACCAGCAGGACCAGCCCCAACCACATCATCCCAGTACGTATCACTGCATATATGATCTTTTCATCATTTGGACCGAATGCCTGGACTTGCTTGTTGACTTCCACCACGGATTCAGCAACTCCTACCCTTCCACCAAACTCTCTTTGCATACCCCTCCACCAACATTGACTTTCTGACTACCACACTGCACACCTGGGATGGCACCCGACAAACCACCCTATACAGAAAACCAATGGACCGCCACACGTGTGTCCACAAAACCAGCAACCACCCCAGACACACCAAGAGAGCTGTACTCTACAGTCAGGCCCTTCAATACAACCTTCCTGATACCCACCTTATCAGCCTGAGGAATGCCTTTATCTGGCACGGACACCCCAGCAGAGAAGTAGATCACATCATGGAATGAGCCGCACAGATACCATTAACCAAAATATTAAACACAGTTGTCCCAAGGGCTGATACTTGATGAACTCCATAAGTAACCTCCCTCTCACGTGATAGTCCCCTGTACAACACCAGCCCCTAACATCTCCCCTTGCAGCCCTTGGGCTGACCTCTACCTTTTCCAGCTCAAGTGATAATTTATCATGAAACCATTCCGGTTTGGATAGGCGACGAGTGGGAAACTTAGATACCCTGATCGGTGGGAGGGTCTTCACTCCCAGGAGGGGAAGGGATTTCAGGTGAGATGAGATGGCAACAAAGGAGAGGAAACTGCTTCATTTGGAGCACTTTAAAACGAGAAAGGGCAGACCCCTGGACAAGCTGCTGGGGGGAACAGCCCAGCACTGGGCTATTGGACGTGGGTGGGGTGGCCGTTCTCATCTCTAATGTCCGCGGATCAGATTAAAGTGGCCTCAGCAGGACCCCTGTCCTCATGCAAGATTGGACGTTTGCATGGATAAGTAAAGAGCCACAGTTGCGTGAGATATTCAATCTCCTGCTTCAGCATTGGAGCTAACGTCCAACAACTAAAGCCAGCAGAAGGGCTCCCACAAACCGTGCGTGAAGCCAACAGGGCAACTTCTACTGAGCCGAGGTGCTGGCCCATGATGATGGCATGCTGGCCTTAGCAGGGTTTCTGGAGGCTAGCTTGCACACTTACACAACATGCATGTGCATGTACACGTGGCACTGCCACGCCGGGTCACACCACAGGTGCCTCCAGCCCGTTGTCGTGTCAGTGGCACAGAGGCCGAGGGGAAGGGGATTTACTCAGGGCCTGTCCAGACTGACCCGTGGCTCTCCCCTGATACCTTTCAGTATTCAGTGTGCTCATTTGGAGACTGCAGCCCAAACTAGGCGGTTTCATACGTGTCCCATGTCAATTTGCCCAATCCCCTTTGGACCCTGATTAAATTACCACTCTCCCCGCCGGCAGCATCCTGCGGCACGCGCATATCTATGGAAACACACTCGCACCTGCACATTCACAGACGCGCATGCACAGTGACACGGATGCAAGGCCATGCGTGCACAGGACAAGGAGGGGAGCATGCCAGGGAGCATGCACCCTCCGCCCTCCCCGCAGAGAGACTCACTGTTGCTTCTGGGTCAGCTCCTGCTCCTTCAGCACCAAGTCCTGCTTGAGAGACGCCAGCATCTCCACGCTGACGTCCACCTGCCGGGAGAGCTCGGTGGCCCGGTCCTCCAGCTCCTGCTTCTCCCGGCTCAGCCTCACGCTCTCCTGCTTGGCTTTCTCCAGCTCGGAGCTCTTCCGGTCCAGCTCCACCTGGAGCCGGCCCACTTGGGAGGCGATCTTCTGCTCCACCTCCTCCGTCAGCTTCTCCAGCCGCTCATCCACCTCCAGCTTCTCGAAAGCCCGGATCTTCAGGCGGGTCAAGCCTTCCTCGTAGACGGCATCCACCGCGGCTACCGCGGCTGCGGCACTGGCGGGGGGCGTGCCGGCCGAGCTCATGGCCTTGCGGGTGAAGATCTCGGTCAGCGGGATCTCGATCTCGTGCACGTAGCGCGGCGAGGAGGCCGGCTCCAGCTCGTCGGCCGGGATGAGGTCGCAGGCGAAGCGCTGCTCCTTGCCCTGGAAGGACGTGCTCTCGAAGTAGTCCCGGCGTGCCGCCGGGGTCAGCAGGGTGGTGTCGGATGCCAGGGGGAAGACGGCGGCATCGCAGATGCTGTTGGTTTTGGACAGGACGTAGAGCGTCTCATAGGTGTGGTTGTACTCCAGGTGGGCTCGCAGGGAGGACAGGCTCCGGAAACGCTTGTGTTCCCCGCAGCGCGGACAGCGGTACGGCAGGTCCAGCGAGGCCATTCCTCAGCTGAAGCCCCCCCGCCTGCCGCGCACCCCTCCGCAGGAAACCGGCAGGACCCCTGTCATGGTGCAGGCCAGGGGGCGGCAGAAGGGGTGCGGGGTGGGGGGCTGGCGTTGGGGGGCAGTGGGCACGGCGGGGCAGGGCGCCGGCTCTGCAGGTGCATCTCTGGTCAGGGGCTGGCAGGACGATGGGGCGAGCCGGCGGCACCCTCCTTCCCGCCCGAGGGAGGTCTGGTCAGCATCGGGCGGCTCCACGTGCTGGAAGAGACAGTGAGGTTGGCAGCGGTCCCCCTCCGTCACCCCTGCCCCACTCCTCCCTCCGCCCCATCATCTCGTACCTCTGCCCTCCTGCCTCACCCCCTGAAAACCTGCCCTCTCTCTTCCCCGCCCTTCCTGATGCCTCCACCTGCAGCATCATTGCACCCCAGGGAAAAGGTCTTCGAGCCCTTGCTTCTTCCCATGAAAATGCAGCCCGGCCGATGCACATGCCAGGTGTTACAAAACCACCCTCGCCCTCAAACGGCAGCCAGGCAGCTTCCCCAGGGCACTGGTTTCCAGTGGAGTGGACTGGTAGCAGAGCAGACAGGACCCCTGCGATAGGCACAGCCTGCTTCCCGGCATAGAAACACAGCAGCGATGCTACGACCATACAGGAACGGAGAGAGACGGGACGGTCCCTCATCCCCCCGAAGCCCACCAACGACCCCATGCCATCCAGAAGAAACCACCAGGCATCCAGGGGTCTTTATTTCCTTATTTCGACTCTCTACAGGGTTTGGATGCTGCCCTCCCCCAAAAGCGCTGGGCTCAGGGGCCCTCTGCATGACGGCTTATCCCAGGGGCTGGGAGCTGAGACGTATTTTGGCAGAGATGCTCTGGGCAGGAGTGCATGGCTGGAAGGGATGGGATGAAGGGCCTTGGGAAGCCCAGAGCGGGGTCGTCAGGGCTGGAAGTGGGTCAGGAAAGAAGGTCACTGGCAACAGTTGTGTGTGGGGGACACGCAATTTCCTAAGGCTAACGAGGCGAGCGCTGCCAGCAGACACGGTCCTTACCAACCTAAACGCCTCTTTCCTTCCAGCCCGGGGGAGGGAGTGTAATCAGGTGTGAAAGTGGCCAGACTCCCCTCCGCTCCTGCCAGCCAACGCCAGGGAGATCCCCGCAGTAGAAACTAGTCAGAGCCCATCACGCGCCCGCCCCGGACACGCGGGCTGTTTGCAGCTCCGTTTTTCCCTGCTCTGGGCACCGGAGGGATTTCTCTCCTAACGACCTCCTTGGAAACGAACGGCAGGGCGGATGCGTTAGATCAGCCCCGCTAGCCCCTGCGGCGCAACTGTCTCCTGCAATTACACGCTGGAGCACCCTCTCTGGCGCCCGGGCCAGGCCACGCGAGCCCGTGTGCCTGCCTGACTCTGGGGTCAGGAAGGATCGTGCTGTGCTGTCGCCGGCTGCAGACAAGCCCCCGCAACTCCCGGGAGAGTGTTTCCGTTGCAGCCCATCATAAGCCCCGACCAACAAGTGAAACGGGAGTTTGTGGCTTTTGCTCCGTGCCTCTATGAGATGCACTTTGGGGGTCACCTCCTGTGATCTGCACCTGCCCCTCGGTTTCTTCCTGCCTGCCAGAGCCACCTGCCAGGCAAAGAGGCCGCTGGCACACATGCATGGGCAGTAACAGGGCACTGGGATGGACTAGCCGGGTATCTTGTAGCCACCTGCCGACCTCTTGAAAGGTCCTTGAGGAGCAGGAAAGCAGAGGCTGGAGGGCTCCGTTCATGATACAGCACAGGCAAGGACAGTGAAACCCCCTACATGCATATGTAGACATACATGTGTACACACGCACACACACATATGCACCAGCACATCTCAACCTGAGGTGGTGTGAACACAGTTTGGTGTGAGGAGGTACACAGACACACACACTGAGCAATATGCCTGAGCTGGAGGTGATGTGAACACAGCTAGGAGCAAGAAGGTGTACACACATACACACCAACATGCCTCCGCTTGAGGTGGTGTGAACGCAACTAGGTGCGAGGAGGTGCACACACAGAAAGAGACACACCAATATGTCTCAGCCGGAGGTTATGCAAACAGGTCTAAGAGTGAAAAAGTACACATGCACACATGTGCATGCACTTGCCAATGTGCTTGAGGTGGTGTGAGCACATCTGGGAAAGGAAGAGGTACACGCATGCACAAATGCACGCACACGCTCACCAACATGCTGCAACCTGAGGTGGTATGGCACAGCTAGGAATGAGGTATACACACACACACACACACACACACGTGCATGCACAGACACACACACTCACCAACCTGTCTGAGATGGCGCGACCACATGGAAGAGTGAGAAGGACTTGGCCTTGGTGCCCTGTGCCCCAGCGCTGTGCCCCCTTGCTGACTCCAACAGGGCTGTGGGCCAACACCTTACACCATGCAATACCTGGCAGGTGACCGGCATGGCACATGCTTCCCCCTGAGGTTTTACTCGGCTCCAGCAGCACCTGAGTGGGATACCAATGCATGCTGAGGGGGCCGTGTGAGCGGTGGAACCTGACCCGAATGGCAAAGCTTGCTGGAGTTGGCCACGGAGAAGTCTTCAGGAAAGGCAGCGACCCAAACAGTGCTTGCAGAGGATGGACAATCTCAGCAGCATCAGCAGAGCCTCCTTGGGGTCCAATCCTCTCCCAGGAAAGCTTGATGGGAGCCCCAGGGCCTGGCCTGTCTTAGAATACCCTTAGCCTAACTCTAATGCATGCCCCTTTGTGTCCCATCATACATGACCTCAGGGAGGCAGGCAGCGGGGTGTGCTAAGGGGTGCCCTTCTCCGATACCTGGTGTGAAGCACCCCAGAAATGGCCTGTGTCAGGCAGCTTCAGGCTCAAGCACACGCGGCTGCTTTGCATGTGCAGGCGCCTAGCTAGCAGGAGGGCAGCGGGCAGGGCAATTAGCACGTGGGCAGGCTAACTAGCACAGACACTCAGATGCACTAATTAGCTGGCGGGCGGCACCGTGTAAACACAGCTACACCCCTCCCAGTGCAGGAGGCCGCATGCAGAGGGAAGCATGGTGTCTTTGAGCTCACCACCGCCTGGCGCAGCCAGCTTGCAGCGTAGACCTGCTCTTTGTGTCTCGGTGCCCCATCCAAGCCAGGGAGACCGCAGCCGTGCCTGGCCCATACAGGGGCTGTGACACTACAAGCATTAAAGAGCACAAAGCACTAAGTGACTGCGGTAACAGGGGACCCTCATGAGCTCTTTTATCGCCCTCAGCATCAATGGTAGAGTCCAGGGGAGGGAAGCCAGGGCTCCTGGGTTCTGCTCCCTGCTCTGTTACTGGTCTGATGGGGTCACTTCACCTCCCTGGACATGTGTACCCCATGCATAACCTGCATTCATCTCAGCTCCAGAATCACCACCTGTCCTCTTGGGACTGTTCTGACTCCTGCCCATGTCCATCACAGTGGTTTTGAACCCAGGCTCTCCTTAGGGACCTTTTAGCTGCACTCAGACGCATCCCCCCAAACGCACCACCCTCCTTGCACCAGCCCAGGCAGCGGGGACCAGCTCGAGACTAGGACGTCGATGGCTGTGGGCAGGTTTGTTATCGGCAGCGATGGCTGAGAGGCACAGGAGCAGCAGGCTGACGGGAGCCGGCAGTGCTAACCCGGCAGGTCCCGGGGAAGCGTTAAATGGCCCTGACGAGCAGAAAATAACGAGCGCACAAGTGACTGGGGAGCTCAGGGAAGGAGAGGCCAGGCTGACGGGCAGGGAGCACAAGCAGGGATGCAGGAGCTGCGCGAGCACGCCATCAGCTTCCCTCTCTGTGCAACCAGGGCCAGATTATGACCATCTTTCACCCCTTGGGGTTGCATGGGGTCTACGAGGAAAAGGCAAAGACACAAACCCTACTCTGAATCCCAGCCTGTGACCCCCATTTGAGCTCCAACAACATGCATTGCTGCAGCTGGACCTTCCCGTTGAACCCAGGGCCTCTAGCATTGCACACAAGAGCCCTAGCCCTGGGCCAACCCTTCCCCGCTCACAGGTAACACATGCAGGTGGCATTTCAGGCCCAGGACATATCCTTGGGGTCTCAATCCTGGACAAAGGCCTTCATGCTGTAGGGTTCATTCTGCACCCATTCCCCATTGCAGCAGTATCCCAAGTGCACCCCATGGAAGCAGGGCTGGGCTCCAGGCTTGATTGTCTGGTCATTGTTGGGTAAATGATCTGATATCTTTTATTAAACCAACTCACATAGTTGGAACAATTCTTCTTTGCAAGCTTTCAGGTATAAATACCCTTCACCAGGCTGAGGAAGCATCTGCAGCTGTGTGTACGTCCTCAGCCCGACGAGGGGTATTTATACCCAAAAGCTTGCAAAGAAGAATTGTTCCTACTATTTGAGTTGGTCTAATAAAAGATACCAGATTTACCCAAAGGACCTTTTAGACCAACACGGCTACAACTGACACCCCGGCAGTCGGTGAAATGAAATCAGGCCCCAGGTCTGCGCAGGAGAAGAGTCTTTCATTCGCATGGGTCTGCAAGTTGTTCCCATCCCTAAAAGGGAGAAAAACTCCAAACCCAGCAGAAAAAAATCACAAACAGAAAACCTAAAATGAAAGGTTTGGGTCTATCGAAGTATGAGGTTAGATCCAATTTGAAACCCTTCCATTTCCCTGGAACTCGTTTCCTTCACTTTTCTGTTCCCCAAAATGTTGAAATCAAGAGTCGTTTGGACTCAAGAAACCCATAAGGAAATACCGAACCGGGACGTTCCCTCCGGGGATTGAGTCAGGAGACGAATCAGAACCAACCCTGTTTTGCAAACGGTTTTGTTTCAACCGGCTGATGTTTTTTCCTGGAAGTACAACCCCGTGCGTGAGCTTAAATGTGACTGGAGCTGCAGATTGCCTTCTCCCCGGTCCCACTCACATGCTGACTTCCACCTGTTGGCCCAGTGCAATGCAATTCCCTCCTGATAACCCTGCCACAATCAGACCTCGACCCGGAGTATCTGATCGCACTTAGTTTTCACT